ATTCTTTAAATACAAGGATTTTTTAATAATAACTAAATGTGAAACGTCTACACACTGTACATGCAATTGAAAATTGAAAGTGCAAATATATAAAAAAAACAATCTCTCTGAACAAAGACGTCTCTGTCTACGCGACATCCTCATTCTTGAGGTAGAACTGAAAAACCACTGTGTTCGTTGTTGTTTGTCATTTAGGTTCAAAACATCTTCGTGTCAGTTCAGAAAATCTTGATGACAATCAGCTGACCACGAAGTCATTAGTGAGAGGACGAGGAGATTCACTTTCTTTTCATTCCCTTTTCAAAGATACAAAGGAAGCCACATTCTCATTAACTTCTCTTTGCTTTTTTAAAAAACGCTTTCATCTTCCGCTTGTCTTTCGACTTCAAAATCCATCCCCGTCCTCGGCCCGTATCCTCCACTCGTTTCGTATTGTTCCGATACCCTTGACCATTTGGGACTTTGTGAAACGTCTTAGCCTGTGAGTGTGGGACATTAAAATTAAATGGCTCTAAAAATGGCCCCACGTCTGCAGGCCATAGAGGCAGTCTACCACTGTGGCCTTGAGTATTTGTGCCTCAAATATTTATTGGAGTCAGTATTTAGTTGCTGGACTTTGGATTTCTGTGGCGACTGTGAGGATTTAATAGAAAAATTCCACAACTGAATAGGTCTGAGGAAGGGACGTACAATGGCCGTGTCTTCTAACACACATTTATATTTACTGCACTTTATTTTTGTCAACACTGACTGCCTCAAACAGTGCTTTGACTCATGAGCTGGAGGTTAATAATAATAAGATAAATAAAGAGAAAAAAAAGGGCAGACCTTGAAATACAGCATTTTGTTGTGGGTCACTTTAATATCATTTTAGAGCTGGAATTTGATAAAAAAACACATCTTGAATTACCTGGTAATTAATGTTTATTTGCCTTCACTTGACCTCCCTACAGAGATGGTTTTTATTTTAAATAATTCTACAGAAAGTACTGATATTTTTTTGTGCCATTTAGAAGGATGAAATGTCAATAATATTTTACTATGGTCAGTAGGGGGAGAAGTTTTGAGGATTTTAACTGTTAATGCTCAGATCAGAGGTCCAGTGTTGTGGTTTCTGTGGTAATTATGGAAACTCACTCTTTGGACCCAAGAAGCCCATGACAGTATGATGCAAATGTCGAGCACATTCAGCAGTTGTTTCTCTCCTTAGACCAATTTTTTCTTTCCTAACATTTTAAGTCTCGACTCAGCAAAATGTTCTGTATACATCCATGTG